TTGGTCTATCTACATACTGTCAGGAATCCTTCCTGAACGCACTGGACAATATCTGCTCCATCTAAACTATTACAACTAAAATGTTTCCAATCAATATTTGGAAAGTTGAAGTCACCCATGACTACAACCCTGTGACTTCTGCACCTTTCCAGTATCTGCCTCCCAATCGGCTCCGCTACTTCTCTGCAACTGTTAGGGGGTCTGTTTATAAAAAAAAAAACCCAACAAAGTGACTGCTCCTTTCTTGTTCCTGACCTCAACCCAAACTGACTCTGTAGACATATCATTCTCGAACTGCCTTTCAATAGCTGCTATACTCACCCTGACTAGCAATGCCACTTCCCCCACCTCTGTTTCCACCCTCCCTATTTCTTTTAAAGCATCTAAATCCTGGAACTTCCAACAACCATTCTTCTCAGAGTTACCCAAGTTTCTAATGAAACTTCTGTAATAAACTTTGGGTATATACAATTGCTTACTTAAAAACAACAAGAAAGAAAGGAGGAGTCACTTCAGTTGTTGCTATAGTATAGTGCCAGTATCACAGCCAAAAGAGGATAAAGAGAAATGGAGGAAGAGAAGAGTTCTTTTGTGCTCCCTTTGCAGCACAAGCTTATCTGAAAGGTACATCTAAATTGGTATTCTACAAACTTATCTTCAAGGCTATCTTTAGCAATTTGATTTGGCCAATGTATATAAAGATTAAAGTGCCCAACAATCATTATGATAGTCTATGCTTAATGCTTGTTGTATGTGCTGCCATCTCAACCTTCTAAGTAGAGGTAGTAGGAACTGCCAATGCTGGAGACTCTGCGATAACAAGGTGTAGAACTGGATGAACACAGCAGGCCAAGCAGCAACAGAGGAGCAGGAAAGCTGACATTTTGGGTCCGGACCCTTCAGAAAATGGTCTAGGCCTGAAATATCAGCTTTCCTGCTCCTCTGATGCTGCTTGGCCTGCTGTGTTCATCCAGCTCTACACCTTGTTATCTCAACCTTCTAAGTATGTGGGTTATAAAGGGGTTTTTGTGCACAGAGGAAGCCAGCTTCCAGTTTATCAAGAAGAGTCTCTTGTAGAGTCAACCAATGTGTAGTTTGTTGCATATCTGCAATTATTTACAGATTGCAAGAATGGATTTCTACATTACTATAAAGACTGTTAGGAGGACCTAGCCTTGGATCTGTTACCTAAAGCATTCTCGTGACATCTGCTTAAATTCAATCAAGTAGCTGCCATTTCACACACCTAAACAACAATGCTTTGTCCAGTGGCACAACTACTGTCAAGGGCCAATAAATTCATTCCACCAGTGTTTTCTGACCTTTGTTATTCTCAATATGCATCCCCATATTGATTGTGTTTCTGATCTTCTGAGTCAAACTTAGTTATTAATGTTCCTAAGCCATCCTTTACTATGACAGCACAGTTCCTTTTCCACTTGGTTAATCTTTTTGAAACATTTTTATTTGAAAACAATTGTTCACCTTTATGGCCATGTCTTTGTAACAGCGATTGGATCTAAAGCAATTTATCTCTATTGCAACGATGGTTCATACGGTTTATGAACAGGAAGAAAGTAAGATATTCTTTCTGAAAGCACATGGCATCTCCAAATGCATTACAACTAGTTAAGTACTTCTGAAGTCTAATCATTGTAATATAGGAATCACAGCAAATCATATGCATATAGCAAGTTCCCATGAACAGTAATAATGTAATCAGAGTGTCTGTTTTTGTGATATCTGTGTAATAAATATAGTGAGAATAAGTTCCAGCTTTTCATCAATGTAGCACCATGTGATCTTTTGGATCCACCTGAGAAAACAGTTGAAGCTTCGGTTTATCATCTCATCTGAAAATGTAGCAGGCCTTCGGTGCTGCATTGAATTTTTGGCTTTGGCATTTCTATACACTAGACCTGGATGCACCCTGAATCCAAGCACTGTTAATTGACCACAAATGGCACTCAATACAATAATACCGATCTGTACCGAGTTTGCACCTGAGACCTTTGTAATGTTAGTGCTCTGCTACAACCATTTATGCACATAAACCATGCTTTGCACATTTAAACAAAGAGCCTTTAGTTTTAATTTGAAAAAGATGAGAATGTCATTTGGGTATGTGGGTTAATTCAGGAAAGCTAGCATAGATTTGGTAAAAGTAAGGCATGTTAAATTAACTTGGATTTTTTTTAATGAGATAAAGGAGAGAGTTGATGAGGGTATTGCTGCTGTGACATGCCTGGGCTTTCAAAAGGCATTATGTAAGGTACCACACAACAGACTTCAGAGAAAATTTATATTTCATGGAATAAAAGGGACAGTAGGGATGTGAAATTGACTAACAGGAAACAGAATGATGGTTCATGGATGTTTGCAGACTGGAGGAAGGCTTGTAGTAGAGTTTCCAGGTATATAGGTTATAGGTACGATCCTTGCTGCCTTGACATGAAATATATGTAGACCTGGTGCATAGGGCACAATTAAAAAAATTTGGCACTGATAGAAAACTTGGAAGCATTTTGAACAGTGAGGATAGCATCAACTTCAAAATGATATTGGAAGATTGATGGACTGGGTGGACAAGTGGTAGAGCAGTGTCAAATGGTTCACTTTGATAGGAAGAATGCAGTGTGACTATGCAAAGTAGTGTACAATTCTGAAGGGATAAAAGGACCTAAATGCATATATGCACAAATCATTGAAGATTGCAAGGCAGGTCCAGAGAGGGGTTGATGGGAGCATAGAGTGCAAAAGCAAGAAAGTTGCATTTAAACTGGGAGGAAACCAGTCCAGCCTCATCTGGAGAATTGTGTACAGCTCTAAGCATCACATTTCAGGAAGGATGAGAAGGGCATTAAAGAGGGTGAAAAGATTCTGTCCAAGAATGCTGGACTTCATGGAGGTAGATAGGTTGTACAGGATTTCATAAAGAAGAGAAGGTTGAAGAGAGGTTTAATAAAGATATCAAAATCATGAGGAGCCTGGACAGTATAAATGGAGGGTGGGAAAGAACTGTTGCCAGTTGGTGGATGGATCAAGAATAAGCAGGCATAGCTTTAGAGCAACTGACAAAAGAAGTAATGGTGACATATGGAAAAACATTTTCATATTGCCCGGGTTTGGGATCTGGGATGCACTTCCTGACAGTATGGTAGAAGAGTCTCAATCAAGGTTTTTGAGACTGATTTGATTATATTATTGGAAAAGGAAGCATGTTTAGGGCTGTGGGGAGAAGGCCCAGAAGTGGTACTAGGTGAATGGCAACGTTTGGAAAACTAGCACAGACAAGAAGGGTAGAATGACCTCCTCCTGGGTGTTAACTGTACTGTCATTTTCTGATATTTTAGCATGGGCTTCTTTCACTAATATGATTTCTGTTAAATATTGCTCATTCCTGTTTTTCTCTGCTATCCTTTTACAAAATTGGTAGACTGCTTTATTAGCTTGGCTTTTCTCTTTAAGTTGTAAATTTCCCTTCACCTGCCTGTCCATGATTCCACCTGCCCTGGTTTACCTTTTTTAAAGCCCCGTCCTTGGACCTGGCTCTACACTTTGCCTATTGCTCCTATATTAGTTTCAGTAAAGCCTGTACCAATGGACTAGTGCCCTCTTTCAGTGGTTTTTGTACCAGTGCTGTAAGAACCACAGCTGTCTTCCCACAGTACTTGTTGAGTTGTGTGTTCAATTCTCTTATTTGCTGTACTCTGCATCAATTGGAATGTGCCGGAAGTTTCAAGCCCGGCATTAACACTCAGGCTTTGTTTTTTAATTTGGACCCAAATTCCTCAAACTCTGTCAGCAGGAAATCATGCCATGCTTTACCCATGTAAAGAAATGTCTTTAAGCTTTGAACTTGGCAGGCAACACAACCTTTTTAACCATGAGTCATGGTTACAGAGAATGCATCTATCCCATGAATGTTACTGTTCTCTATCGCTGCTTTTTCTTTACCCACTGGCTAGGGCCAGTTTTCCTATCCACACAGGTACCTAAATACTAATTTTTTTGTGAAAGTCAAGGATTGAGACTCCTTCGTCACTGCATCCTAAATCCCCAGGCCTGTCTGTCTTGCGGTCACATCGCCTATCCCTGGCCATTGACTAAATCTTGAGTTCTACTTCACCTAAGGGACATTGCTACCTTCTCCATCAAAGTCTATCAATAACTTTTTTCCGCCTTCCTGATATGTCATGTCTGTAACTTGGACTCTAGATCAATGGCTCTGAACTAAGATTGCTTGAGTTGCAGAAGGTGGCCCGTTGGTTCAGCTGATTAGACCGTGGTGTTGTTAACACCAAGGTCATGGGCTCAATCCCCATACTGACCAAGTCTGTGCATTTCCAGCCACTAGTTTGATGCATTTTGTTCTGCTGGGAATCTTGCGCAGCCGTTTTCTACTTTTAAGGGCAGCATGGTGGCTCAGTGGTTAGCACTGCTGCCACACAGTGCCAGGGACCCAAGTTTGATTCCACCCTAGGGTGACTGTCTGTGTGGAGTTTGCACGTTCTCCCCGTGTCAGTGTGGGCTTCCTCCAGTTTCCTCCCACAGTGCAAAGAAGTGCAGGCTAGGTGGATTGGCTGTGCTAAATTGCCTGTAGTGTTGAGGGATGTGTAGATTAGGTGGGTTATAGGGGGATGGGTCTGGGTGGGATGCTGTGAGGGTCAGTGTAGACTTGTTGGGCTGAAGGGCCTGTTTCCGCACTGTAGGGATTCTATGATGTATAAAATTGAAATGTTCCCTGCAAACTTGCAAATATTGTGGTAACAGCAGTGTCTGTCCTACCAAATTTATCTGTGGACTCGATATTGATACTGTATATTCAGAGTCAGATAATGAAATTTGTATTTGAGTTGTTTGTAAATTTGGCAATAGAACGATTACAATTCTTGATTATGCATCTGCTCACACAAGATTTTAAATTATCAATTTGCCCTTAATTAGCAATATTCAATGCAATAATCTTGCCTGTTTTTTTTTCCCTGCTTATTTTGCAGTTGGAACTCACTTTCAACTATCTGGAGATTCAAGGAATAAGTTGCTGTAAACCTGGACAAGTGAGTTTCATTTTATTAAACTAGTATCTGTAATCCTGAGAAATCAATCTTGGCATTATAATTTTAATGTTGATCTTGTAGTTATCTACTTGAATTACAAGTAGAGTTTAAGTAGTTTCTGAATGGGTAAAAACTTGGTGAATTGGAGGAACAGAAAATAAGCAAATCAAAGTTAATCTTGTTCTTTCTTGATGACAAACAAAATGCCAGCATTTAATTTACTTTTGGCTTTTGTAAGACAGCAGTGCTTGAATCCACAGTTGCTGCCTAACCATAGTACCACCATTTTTTGTTTCTACTAAGGAGTTTGGATTTCTACCATTTGCAGAACCTTGATTTTTACAAACTTCTACTTGCTAGTTAAGCCTAAGTTGTCTTTTTTTTTGTTCTGTTTCCCTTGTTTTATATAATTTAGAAAAAAATTTATTGGCTTCCATTTTGGTTAATAATTTTTGCGCCATAATTTCTTCATCTTCATCTTCCTTGTCATTGAATATCATTCCATATCTTCTGCTGTAAATGTGGCCCAGAAACTTGGTTTAAGTTCATGGAACTATTAATTGGATGCTTGACAAATCCTAGGAGTACTGTGGATTAGCCTGCCTGCACTTCCTTCCACTTCCATTTGTGAAAAACAGATAACTGCCTTGGACATTCCTAGGGCAAAAAATGGGAACCTCTCATTTTGGAGCATTTCCTGCTTTAAGTAGTAATATCTCCATCGCAGTGCCGTGGCGCACCTTTCGCCAAATGTGAATTACAGTTGCTATTTATTTTTTGCACTTTGCTTGTTTGTAAAATTATTGCAAAATAAAGTGCATCTACACTAAAGTAGTAACGTAGTTCTGTAGTTATGTATGTCAGATGATGTACATCACAAGGAATGATCTGTACCTTTTTAGCAGTTTAAAAATAATTTATGATTCATTCATTGATTTCCAAGTAATAATTGTCATACAGTTGCCAAAAGTACTTGAGTGATGAGCCAATAACTGTGGGCTGTTTCCAGTAGAAGATGGAGGCTCTCTGCTATAAATAAAATGACATAATGGTGCTGCACTAATTATGCAAATAACTTGTTCTAATCTTTAATGGGAAGAAATGGATATTAATCCATGGAGCAGGCATACCATGCCAAAGCTTAGCATGTAGGTCTCCAATGTGAAACTTCTGTGAAAGCACATTTTTATGTTTAGTGGTACAATTTAAATTTGTGCTAATAGTGTAAATACAATCACTAGTTTTATTTATTTCAGTAATATCTAATTTGTGTTCTTAAACATGTGTAGGAAATGTCAGCTATGCCCAATGTATGTTTGTCAGAAGACTGTGTGCGTACAAGTCCAGCTAATATAAGGGCAGTGGTGATGTCCTGGCAATGTCTCTGGACCAAAGGTTAATGTTCAAGGGATATGGGTTCAAAACCCACTATGTCAGATGGTGAAATTTGAATTCAATAAAAATTTGGCAGAAAATGTTAGCCCAGTTTTGTAACCACCGTTAATTGCCATTAAAAGCTTACCTGGTTCATTAATAGCTTTCAGGGAAGAAAATCTGCCATCCTTGCCTAATCTGGCCTGAGAGATTTCAGGCCCACAGCAATGTGGTTGCATCTTAAATGCCCTCTGAGCAATTTAGGATGATCAATAAATGCTGGTCAAGCCCACACTGTTCTTAACCCATGAATGAACTAAAAATAAAGCTGCAGCTTGTATCAGCATTAAGGGTAGCATGCAACAGGTTGAGTAAGGCAATTGTTGAAAAGGACAGAAGTACACTCAATGCACACGCAGGCACAAAACCAGAAAGAGTTTGTGTTAAAAAATGTTAAATTGTTCTTTTAATCATCAGTCCTACGAGGAACAACTGTTTTATTTGGTTTCATAATTCCCCTAATGGCTACCTGATAGGATTTGCTTTGCGATCTGGAAGTACAGTATCTTTGCAGAATGAGAGTTTTTAGAAATGGTATAATTTTATTGTGTGAGCAAAAAAGATTGCCTTTTATTTTTAAGACTATACAATAAAAAGCTGTGCATTGCATTTTAAATCATTTTTATAACTTCCAAGCAAATATGATGAGCAAAAATTGTTTCAGACAGTTATCCAGTGGAAGCAGTGTCTTTGTTTCTATACTGTAATATAAGTACCCAGGTAATGTAGCATCTGAACTTAGCGAGATCACATGCATCTGCTTGCTGCTGTTTGTCACTTCTGGGGAAACTGCCCAGCTAATATAATTAATTCATGTTGGTCGTACAAGATTGGTTACTAATTTCATTTTTTAATAATAAAAGGGAATGAAGGACTTTACAGCCCCTCCCATCAGATATATTAAGAGCATTCTAGTTGAGAAACTCTTGTTTATATAAATTACATATAGTCTAGCATTGGGTCAGTAATAAGTTAATTTGAATGCTTTCTTATTCCCCAGCTTCTATGTGAGTATGTCCAATACACAGGGAAAAAACAGATAAGTGACATTAATCAGAAATTGGTGAAAAAGCTAACATTATTGAACTTGATATTGAATCCAGAAGGTTGCAGGGTCTTCAGAAAATGAGGTGGTGTTATTCCAGCTTGAGCTGAGTTTTGCTGGAGAACTGCAGCAAGCCTGAGATAAAGTTGTTGGCCAGAGAATGCTGTTGAAGTGGCCAACAACTGGAAGCTCAGGCCCACTGCTATGGACAAAATGTAGGCATTCTGCAAAGTGGTCACTCAGTCTGCACTTGCTCTCCACTACATTCGGGAGAGGGCACTACAAGCAGTGAATACAGTAGACTAGGTTCATGAAGTGCATGTAAATCACTGCTTCAACTGGAAGGGACCTTGGATATTCAGGAGGGAAGAAGTAAATGGACAGGTGTTCCAGCCTGTGGTTAGAGGGGAGCATGCCATGGGGATGTAGGGGTGGTGTTGGCAGTCGACCAGGGTGTTCTGGAGGAAACAGCCCGTGTGGTAGGCTGACAAGGGAGGGGAGGGGAATGTGTGTCTGGTGATAGAATCCCATTGGAGCTGGCTAAAGTGGCAGCTAATGATCCTTTGAATGCTGGTGGGATAGTAGATGAGGACAAGGGGGACTGTATTGCTGTTGAGGGAAGAGAGGGGATGAGGACCGAAGTGTGAGAGATGGCCGAGGACCCTGTCGACTATGGTGGAGGGGAATCCTTGACTGAGGAAGAATATGGACATTTTGGAGTCTCCCTTGTCGAAGTTGTCATCATCAGAATGGAGACCAAGGAACTGGGAGAATGGAATAGAGTCTTTATAGGAAGGCAGGTTTGAGCTTGAATAGTAGAGGTAACAGTAGGAACTGGTGGGTTTGTAATGGATGTTGGTAGCTAGCTTTTCCCCAGAAATGAAAACCGATGTCAAGGAAGGGAGGAATCTGAGGAACATGGTGAAAGTTAGGGTGGGGTGGAAATTGCAAGCAAAATTGAATTGAATTTTCCCATTCCAGATGAGAGAGGGAAGCACCACCAATGATACCTGATTAATTTCTGTTGTTTCTGATTTCCAGCATCAGTTCTTTTGGGTTTGTTTTTGTTTAGCACGATCAAAACAGCTGGCAAAGGCACAATGTGCGAAATAACCACCTTCTGTGCCCGTGAATCTGGAATGAGTTGGATTTAATTTTATTGTGTTGAAACCATTTGATGCTCCAATTGAGCTGTCTGAGGTGCATTTTCCCATCTCTAGATGGTCACGTTTTGGTCATGACATCACTAAAGAAGATGGGCCGGCTGTTCCTGCCCTCCTCATGATTCAAAATGAGTTATGCTGTAACTGCCTTTAAATAACTAGGCATAAAACTACAAAGCAATTACTCATTAGCATTTAATAGCTTAAAGATAAACGTGTAACATCTTTTTGGAGTGTCCCCATTTTAATATCAGATTGCCTCAGTTGGTAACCCTCAACTTTGACTAATACTAATAAATTAATTAAATTAACATGTAAGCACATAATCCTGGCATTATTCACTACCTTGTTGCTAAATTCATTTTATTTGTGGCTTTTTGAGAGTGAAAAGCCCAAGTTTCTGAAGTAATTCCTTATCGTTCAGACCAGGATTAGATATAATGCACAAGTTATGGTCTCACCAGAGCAGAGTGCAGCTTAATTATAATTTAGCTTTGCCCTGTGTCACATTGTTAGGGCTGTACAGTTCATCCATTGGGTTTGTTAATTTGCTACTCCACATGTGGCTGATGGGAATGCAGGTGTGATTAACTTAATGGCTATGAAGTATAAAATGTGTAATGTACGTGTCTTAACTCTCTCCCGGTCATGTTTATCCAACACCCTTATGATTGCTAGCTAACATAGACTATTGGTCAATCAATCCCTTCTGCCTCTCTCTAACTCGCTATCTCCTGCCCTCGCTCTCTCTAACTCGTTCCCTCCCGCTCTCTCACTCCCTGCCTCTCTCTGTATCCCCCTTCTTCTGTCCCCCAGCACTCGGTGCCTCCCCTCTTCCCCCCAGCCCTCTGTCATACACCCCCAAGCTCCACCTCGCGCCTCAGCAATTTAACCTGTTGAAACTTAGTTGCTCTCTTTCTCTCTTTGTTAAACGCATCCCTCTTCATAAATGCAGATCAAAACTGCATACAGTACCCCATGTGAGGTCTCACGAAGGCTCCATATGACTGCAGCAAAACTCCTTTACTTCTATACTTACATCCCCTTGAATTGAAGGCTAATCTGCTATTTGCCATGCTAATTGCTTGCTGAACCTGTGTAATAGTGTTTGGTGTGAACAAGAACCCAAAGGTCCCTTTGGACAAGTGCACTTCCCAATCTCTCACCGTTTAAGAAATGTTCTGACTCTGTTTTCTGTAACAAAGTGAATATCTTCACAATTATTTAAATTATATTCCAACCATGATTTCGTTATTCACTTAGACTGTTCAATTCCTTATGAAACCTTCATGCATCTTCCTCACAAATTAAGTTCTGTCTCTGGCGCGCGCTCACTGTCTCTCTTTTATTTTACATTT